AGATTTTAGCTGTTAACTCATTAAAAACCTCAGTATCTTCCACACATTGCTAAAATAACTGTTTCAAAATATATACACATGGCCAAAATTTTAAATGTTATCAAGAGATCTCTGTATCTGTTTGTCTGTCTTTGTGTTTTGTTTTTTACCTCCGGAGGACTAATTATAAATGGCGCCTTTAAATTATCATAGAACAAATCTTAAGATCTTAATCAAACAATTTTTTAATAAACAAAAACTAGTTTAAATTTTATAATATAATTCAAAGCATATATGCCTTAAAGTTATGAATACTTTGTTTAAACGTGTTTCAAAAAGAAATTTCTGGTATAAAAAGTACTTTTCTCCTTCCTACTGAGTCACATGTATGTGAAAAATGTACATAGTATCTATATGGTGCTCTGATTTTTTTTTTTATTAATTTGCCTAATTGCTTCTTTATTAGCTAGCCTACAAAAACCTAGGTATGTGCCATTATTATTAACAGCCATGCAAAATGGAATTCCAGTCATAACAAACTAAAACTGTTAGGGGAAAAAGGCTGTCCCAAAGCTAATTCCATACAGGCTTTGTGGACTCCACCCCCACCCCAGTGTTAGGGGGAAAAGGCTGCCCCAAAGCAAATTCCATACAGGCTTTGTGGACTCCACCCCCACCCCAGGCCAAAGCCAAAGACACTGGGAACTCTACATCCCATCACCACCCAAGGGAAGGTGGCTGGGACCTGAGGGTGGGGTTAAGCAGCCAGGTGGATACAAAAGGCAGACATGTGGGCTTTGGGGCTCTCTCCATTTTGGGGCCCTCGGCCAGCTCGCGGCGTCTGTCTAGCTCTGAGAGTGACTTTGGGTTTCCAGGTCGTCGGATCGGGTAGGACGCATTAAAGACTTTATTTCCCTATTTTCTCCCTGAGTTGTACATTTTCCTTATTTCTTTTTCTCTTGTAAATAAACCTTTTATTAACCCTTTTGCGTGTGTCTGTAGTAGAGTATTCATAAGTCCCTTTAAAGCGCGCGGGTGAGGACCCACAGCCAGGAACCCGTTTAATATCGGGGTTGCTCTATAACAAAACTACAACTAAACTTTCAGGTTTACTTTTTGCACCTATTTGTGAAACCTAAAAATTCGGTCTGCTTGTCATGTGAGACCCTCCTCTGGTGGCCAGGGAGCAGCCGGGGATTGAACCAGCGCTGCAGAGGCTGCGGGCAGCTTCGCAACCCAGCGCTCAACCGCTGCGCCACTGGGGAGGCCCCTTTTTATGCTTTTTCTTGATGCAGCAGATGCAGACCCTTTATGGAGCGGATATTCTGGGGGATTTGCGGTCCCCCCACCTCCTGTAACAATAGGACTTTTTAAATTCCCAATTTCGACATCACACCCCCGAGGAGATGAAGGAGGTGAGTGACAGACACAGAACCACCCCGCACACACTCGTCTCTCCATACTCTGACGACAGCCGCCCACACGACCCCTGGGGACACCCGGTGTCCAGTGGTGCTGAAGGAGCAGCGCCCAGGGAGAGTCAAGGGAGGACTGAGAACCCGGAGAAGGCACCGCCAGCTCAGACCCCGGCACGCGGGGAGGACATGCCTGGGATGGGCTGACGCTCCCGAGGTGCCGAGACCGTCGCGGCATGGGGAGGCCACGCGGGTCACGGGGGCGTGAGGGGGGGCCGGTCCCGCAGGGGACCCGGGACGGTCCGTCCCCCCGCAGAGCGCCCCACGACGGTGTAAGCCCCCGAGGGCAACTGTGCCAGGGCCGCCTCTGCCAGGGCGGGTGCAGGTCCCCCCCTCCTACACCGCCACCTGTGGCTTCTCGTCACCCCGTTTCCTCCGTGGGCCTCGCCAGCCGCTGTGGAGAGAATCCCCCGCGAGCGCCTTGAGGACATTCGCGCCAGATAGAGGAATCCACCCGCCGAGGGCCGCCTCCTGGCACCACCGGGTCTAGGCCACCTCTGCACCCTGACTCCACCCCGCCCCGGAACCTCCCCCAGCGAGTTCCGGACTCAGGCCCAGGAGGCGACCGCTCTGGCTTCCCCGACAGTGTCCCTCGAGGGCCGGGAGCCGCCGGAGCCTGCACAGGGCTCGCCGCAGAGGGAAAACATTCCCGGGCTACTCAGCAGTGACCGTGGCGAGCGCCGGGGGCCTTTTCACAGACTTCACGTTTCCTTCACACTGTTTCCTCAGCTCACCCCAAAAGGCCACCGAGCAGGGTGTGCAGAGTCATGGTGAGACAGCGCCCCGAGCGGTGTCCACATCCTCCACCCCAGCTCTCCGCAGGAGGACGGCCCCGAACACTCTCTCCTCAGGACTGAGAGTCCACACTTCACCTCACCTTGGCCAACATGTCGGTCACCACAGCCAAGCCCAGGAAAGTCTCATGACACGATCTGGAAACAACGCCGCCTCTCCCGGCCGGAGACTGCTTGATGCTCATCCCTGCTTGTGAGAAGGTGAGCAGCTCCTCCTGGCCTGCTCTCGGGATGTATTTTCTGTCTCTCAGGATGTTCCACATAATCTTGCACACATCCAAGTTTTTACAGATTTGTTTCATGAATCTACACATATTTATTATTAGTATTCTTCAAAATAATATCACAAGTCAGATTAATTTATAACTAAGGATTTGATAAGGTAACTCTAGCTCAATTATTTGGCTTTCCACAATACTCGTTTAACGAATATTTAAGATTCATTTATTTATGCACACAAGAGCTGGGGTACAGGCCGTAGATGCTGGGGTTGAGAGGATTCACCAGAGACAGAGCAGGGAACAGAGCAGGCCGACTGACAAAATACACTGATGAGGGGCGCAGCGGGCCAGTCAGGAGAGGTCTGAGGCACATGGCAGTCAGCTCCCTGGCCGGCTGGGGATCCAACTTGTGCACAGAGGCTGAGAGTAGTTTGAGAGCACTGTGTTTAACCCCTGGGCCACCAGGGAGGCCACTTACCTTTGTTTGGGATCAGAAGTGTGACTCCTTCATTTCCCCCCGCTTTTAATCAGGAAATCTTTGGTCATTTGGGGTCTTATGTGTTTCCATATGAACCTCAGTAATCTTTGTTCTATTCCTTTGAAGAATGCCATTGGGATATTTATTGGGGTTGCAGTGAATCTAGAAGGGGCTTTGGGTTGAATGGCCCTTTGGACAATGTTGATTCTTCCAACCCATGAGCTTTCTATTATTTTTTTCCACAATGTTTTATAGTTTTCCTTGTAAAAGTCTTTCACCTCCTCTGTTAAATTTATTCCCAGTTAATTTTTTTGCATGTGCAATTGTAGGTGGGATGGCTTTGTTAATTTCCTCTTCTAGTTCATTATTTGTACTTAGGAATGCATAAGTTTTTCAATGCAAAGTTTGGTGGCATTACATACACTCACTCTGTCGTGTAACTCTTATTTCTGAAACCAGGGTGTCCCAAAGGCTTATATACATCCCCAAAATAGACCTGCGTTCTTTCTGCTCATTGCTTAACCCTTTGCATTCCGCTGTACCCTCTCAGGGGACATCGCAATTTATTAGTGATTACGGGGAATTGAGTTATTTCAACACAACTTTTTGAGACATGCACTTTTCCCTGAAGTTTTATCTTGAAATGGCACAAGAAATTAAATCAAAATATTGTAAAATTACTAAGATATATACAAGAAATTTCAGCGGGTTTTGTGTCGGACGAGAACATGAGATGCGTGCTCACGATGGTCTGAGCACTTCGCGACGCCACTTGAATAGAGCGATAAGGGGAGTTTGTAGAAGAAAGGTCGGTTTTCAAACATAGCGAACACTGTATAGTGAGATATATAATTACAAATAAACAAGTCTACATCTGGAGGAAAAGATTTTCAAAGCTGAGCTCATTTTCGTTTGAAGCTTCAAGCAGTGCACAGATCTAACGAGGAGAAAATCGGAAAAGTGATTCTTTTCTTAGTGAATAAATTGTTTGGTGAAAGCGATTTTGGTAAATATCATCTTGTCAGTTAGTAATAACAATTAGAAATTTTCAACCCATTCATTTATTCATTTATTCATTTATTCAATGGCAAAGCGTCCAACCACAAAGGAGTCTCATGACACAAGTAGTAGTGAAGATGAGCTCCACTAATCAGCCTGCAATGCATATTGGGGAGTGTTACAAAACTTATCATACTGTAGAAAATTATAAACTATAAAATATTGTTTTTTTTTTGCACATATACATTCCTCGATGTCACCCAATTCATATAAGTCCAATATCATTATAATACGTTACTTGGTTCCAAAATTATACTAAATAATACGAGGGTCTGTAAATGCACATTTCCGCCGCAAAGTAGCGTCGAGTAGCTGGTAGCCAATGTCCAGAATGGTTCGGAGTGCAAAGGGTTAACTGCAAACAAAGTCAAACTATTCTTTGTCTTCTAGCCTGGCTACATTACCAAGAAGAACATGTTCTTCCCCAGCAGTTCTGCTTCTCCAGAGAAAGAGAACCTCGCAGCCCAAGACCGGCCATCCACCTCGGTATCTTATGGGTACACTCCCTTTCATCCAGGGGATGAACTTATGGGTTGGGGCGACCAAGGGAGATGGCACAGACCTGCAAGTAGCACACACCTCTTGTCCCCATATCCAAAGGATAAGCGCCCCACACAAGAATGGACCCATAGCCTCCCTGCTCCGTCTCAGACCTTGAAGCTGAGCCACAGCCACTGCAGCAAGAGCTCCATCCCCAGCCAGGGAGCTGACCCACAGGGCGCAGCAGACCTCTCCTGTCTCCCTGCGGCTCCCTTCAGCAGTGGAATTCAGTGGATCTGCCTGTTCTGCTCCCCACTCGTCTCTGAAGAGTGCTCCCCCGCCCTGGTCCACTCCCTGTCCCTGGAGCTCAGGACTCCTGTAGTGTCCTCACCGCTGGAACGTGGACAGTGTCTCTGGGCTGTGCTGATGCTGCGCATCCTGACCCGGGATGCGGCTGAGCTGGGCAAGGTCCCCACGGAGCACGGTGGAGGCCTCTCCTGGCCCTCCGCCAACAGCATCACCACCCACCTGGGCCGCCCACCCATCCGCAGAGGCCTCACCCGCCACACCCCTGGACACCCCAACACACCTGCAGGGGGACGTGACACGACCCCCTGAACCCCTCACCTTCAGACCAGAGAGTGACCCTTCCTGCAACAGCCCACATGGGTCACATCACAGCAACAGACACTTCCAGGGAACGTGGCACTAGCAGAGGAATGTTGTTTTAGCAAACCCTGCAGGCCTCTTTGGACCAAGTCTGAGATGAAGGCTGAGGGGCCCGATGCCATCTTTAATGGGCGCTCAAGGACACCTAGGAGCCTGCAGCATCGTGGAAAGCGGCCTGCAGCCGGGGGGTGAAAACCTCAGAACCTCCCATGGCGCGTTGAGGAATATGGCCCTTGGCCCCGACACTCTAGGTGGAGTATGAAGGGACCAATGTACCTCCCCCTGCATCAGGGAGGATGCTCTCAGGGGACAGACACCCCATCAGTCACTGACCTGGAAACACAGGACGGGGGCTCTGGCCGTAGAGATGTTCCTGATGGAGGAAGCATAGAGGGCATGGACAGGGAGGAGCGGGCGCCCAAGTCCCAAATCCATGATCAGAGAAACAATCCCCGATGGACAGGCCCAGAGCCCAGCCCTGCGGAGAGGACGCCGCGGAGCCAACACAGGGCACGACTGCAAACCCACAGACTGAGGCTCAGCGTGGACATGCAGGCGAGTAACGGGGGCAAACTCCGCGGGCCTCGGAGCCTCGGGAGAGCCCTCAGGCCTAGCCCTTCAGCAAGAGACACGCCGCAGAGACCCCCACGACCAGCCCCTGCTCCCTGCCCACCACCGCCGTGGGAGCCCCTGTTTCTTGGCCCCAGCGGCCACCCCTCGGGACCATTCTGCTCAGGGAGCTTTCTTGTCCTTACTCCTGTGAGTAAATCTCTGGCTCTTCTGGAACTCTGGGCTCCACTTGGAAGTACTTTCACACCAAAGACAATAAATGAGGAAGAGCACACCCGAGGCCTCAGACTCTGGGCCTGCTGCTCAAACTCTCTGCTGGGCATCACCACAGCGCCAAAGAAACACACCAGAAGGCGCCCGGGGCCCCTGAGGGGGGAGTGGTAGCGAGAGAGACATCAAGGACTTCCTCGGCCACCACCTTCCACACCGACCACTCACCCCAAGGTATGAACTGACTCAGACAAAGACCACATTCAGGGCACGGCCATTGGGAAGGGATTATGTTCTGAACAAAGAGTGAAGGAAAAAGACCTGGATTACATCATCACCTCCAGGAGGAATACAGGGGAACGAAGAAAGGGTCAGGGGAAAAAGACAAAACTAGCAGGCAGATGACAGAGCTGAGACGCCAGCAGGGGATGGGGCAGAAGAGGGGCCAGGAGGGGAGGAGGAGCACCAGAGCCTGGGGTGACAGGTCACAGGGGCGGTGCAGACAGGACATTTGCAAGAATTATACAGAAGGGGAGCAATCCAATATTGCATAAAGATGAACAACGATTTAATAAAAAAAAAATTAACAGGCAAGAATCCTTTCCTTTAAAAAAAAATTCAGGGGCCTCTGGTGGCAGAGGGGTGAAAGTCTCAGCACTATGAAGCTGTTTGCAGTACTGCAGACACGAGTTCGATCCCTGGCCAGGGAGGTGACCCACGGGCACAGTAAACCTCTCCTGTGTCCCCACTGCCCCCCTCAGCAGTGGATTTCAGTAGATCCGCCTGTTGTGCTCCCCACTCTCTCTGTGGAGAATCCTCTCACCCCCTCATACCTCTGGCTTGCACCCCAGATCTTGTATGCAGAATTAATCTTCCAACAAAATTCCCTTAGTTTGTAGAACTGGGGTGCAGACCAGAGGTTAGGGGGTGAGAGGATTCACAAGATACTGAGTGTGGTGACAAACAGGCAGAACCAATGAAATACCTGGCTAATGGGAGCAGCGGGTGACACATGAGAGGCCTGCTGAGCCCATATGTGGGGCGGCTCCCTAGCTGGGGCTGAACCCCTGGCCAGAGCAGGCAATAGCGCTGAGACTTAACCCCGAGGCCACCAGGGAGGCCCCGAAAAACCTTCACCATGAAAGGTAGGTAAAGACAGCTGCAGACCTCACCCTATAGCCGAGAGCACACAGTTCAACATTTCCTTCTAGAGGAGGACATTTTGGTGGTGAGCAATTCCAGCATCAGGGGGCACCACAGAGACTTAGAGTACTGGACAGAACGTGATGACTAAGAACACCCAGAGAGATCACTTACCCACGCAACATGCAGTGTGCCATGTAGACAGACAGCTGCTGTGAACAGGCATAGCATCGCCCAGGAACTTAAGAGGATACTAGAAGCAACAGCACAGGAACAGCGACATCATCACTGCATGAACTTGGGAGAACAGAGTGAACCAGGTAACTCCACACAATTAGGATTGAAACTGAATGTCAGTTCCCATTGCTCTCAGCTGCATGATGTGGTTTGAGCTCCTAAGTTTGAAGATTTTTTAAAAGATTTTTATTTATTCAAGCATACAAGAACCAGGGTACAGGCCAGATGTGTGGGAGGGTGAGAGGGTGCACCAGAGACAGAGCGGGGAACAGAACAGGCAGACTGACCGAAATACACGCAGCGGGCCAGACAAGAGAGGTCTGCCACACCATGGGGCTGCTCCTGGCCGGCCAGGGAATCAAACTCCCACCGCAAAGGCCACGGACAGCTTCACAGCGCTGCGTTCAACCGCCTGCACTACCAGGGGAGGCCTGCCTGCACACTCTTCACATTCACAGCATTTCCCTCCAGTGTGAAGTTTGTCATGCCTAGTGAGGGCTGACTTCCTGAAAAGTTTTCCCACTCTTCACAATCATAGGGATTTTGTCCAGTGACATCTCTGATGTCCAGTGAGAGCTTGCTTATTGGAAAAAATTTTCCCACACTCTTGACACTCATAAGGCTTCTCTCCACTGTGACTTCTCTGATGTTTACTGAGGGATGATTTCTGGCGGAAAGCCTTCCCACATTCTTGACATTCATAAGATTTCTCTCCAGTGTGAATTCTCTGATGTTTAGTGAGGGATGATTTCCACTGGAAAGTCTTCCTACACTCTTGACATTCATAAGGCTTCTCTCCAGTGTGAATTCTCTGATGCTCACTGAGGTAAAACTTACTGAAAAAAGCTTTCCCACACCCTTCGCATTCATAGGGTTTCTCTCCAGTGTGACTTCTCTGATGGACACTGAGGGATGACTTCCTAGAAAAAGCTTTCCCACACTCTTCACAATAATAGGGTTTCTCTCCAGTGTGACTTCGCCGATGGTGACAGAGAGATGATTTCCAGAGGAAAGTCTTCCTACACTCTTGACATTCATAAGACTTCTCTCCAGTGTGACTTCTCTGATGTTGACTGAGGGATGATTTCCATTGGAAAGTCTTACTACACTCTTGACATTCATAAGGCTTCTCTCCACTGTGGATTCTCTGATGCTCAGCATATCTCTTATATCCCAAATTATTCTTTCCTAACTGGGTACTCTCACGCGGATAGGTGTGAAATGTGTTGCTGAGACTGGCCCCACTTTCATAACATTCCTGCTGCTCATGTCCAACATACCTAGGAGAACTCAAATGCACTGGAGTCATCTCCGCAGCTCTCCCCTTTTCATTACAACTGCAGCAAGTCTGTCCTCCTTGGGTTCTGTCTCGGACAATGAAAGGTACCTCATCACGGGTGCCCCTGCACTCATTGCATTTACGGACAATCCCTTCCAGAAGGGCTCCTCTAGGTGTAAATACTGTTTCTTCACTCACGACTTTTCCTTGTTCAGGAAATTCAAAAGGCTGTTGAAAGTTCTGAATCACCTGGTGACTAAGGTGCTCAGGATACTTGATGGGTTCCCTCATTCTACAAAAGACCTCCTCATTCTCTCCAGCATGCCCTTCATGAGGCTCACCAGGGATCATCATGGTCCTATGTATAGTAAAGTTCTCAGGCATCATTGCTGAATTGTTTTCATTTTTGATACTATGGTTCAAACAATGAATTGAGTGCAAATTGCTTTTTTCCATTAAGTCAGTTCTCTCGTTGGATGGTATTTTGCTGCTGGTGGTAAGAACTTGCCACACATGTCTGCCCTGATTTGCAGGGCTGTCCTGAGTCAGGTGATCCACAGTATGGACATCTAAAGGGAGGTAAAAATGGCCATGTCTCTAAAAAGTAAGCATTCTGAGTGAATACTACTAAGCGGCACGAAAGTTCCTATATTACAACATAATTTACAGGTATTGATTTTCTGATTCATGCTTTTTGCCCGTAGTAAATTATGGGGAGAATAGATTTTTTGGTATTTTTTACTTTAGCATAGGAGATCTGGGGTGTAGGCCAGAGATGCAGGAGTGCGGGTGCTGTAGGGGAGCGTGCTGTAGGGGAGTGTGTTGACCAGAACAGGCGGACTGACTGAAATACACTGTTCAGGGGAGCAGCGGGTGAGACAGGAGAGATTTGCTGCGCCAAAGTCGGTGAACTCCTTCACTGTGGATCAAACTCAGGCCATAACAGTGAGAGCTAAGACACTTAATCCCTAGGCCTCCAGAGAGGCCCCAATGAACAGATTTTTTTTTAATGCCAAACCAGGATAACAAAGCAGTAAATCTAATTTCACAATGGATTTATAAAATCATAAATATTTGGTATATATAGTCTTTTAACTAGAGTTGTCGATTTCAACCAGAAGCATTTCACCCAACATAGATCCTACACACTTTCTTTCTTAGACTGACCCTGTGCAGCTCTTGCGGGTACTTTCTGAATAACCAAGACCTGCAGAGGCCATGGCTTTCCCAAAAACCTGTGGACTGAGAGACCCAGTCATTGCCCAGGCACTTCAAGCAAGAGGCCTGTTGAGACACAAGGACTCTGCTTCTCCATTTCCTTAGTTCTTCTTTCAACCCGCCCGGGCCACGGTCACCTGCAGAGGGTCTCAGAGACATGCGCTTCCCTCCACGGCAGAGACCAGTCAGTTCATATTTAAATATCATATCACATAAGGCTCAGAATCCTAATACATGCAGCAAACTCCGCCTCATCATTGTGTCCCACGTCCCCTGCTAAGCGATAGGAAAAAAGTTCTCCATCCATCCTGTGCTATCAGCATTAAAGTCTTTTCTCACATCATTCTGAGAGCAACACCCTGGTGTTCTCAATGCACTCCCTGGAAACTGTGTTTCTGCATTGTTCATAGCAGCTCCAGTTTCTATGTCGTGTGTGACTCTCAGTTACATCACACTGTCGTCGATTCCTTTACTTTCCTCCCAACGATTCCCACGAGAAGGTGGAATTGCACAGGTCACACTGCTCCCCAAGGTATGAGCCCCCAACCTGAAACTCTTGGTGCCATGGCTTTAGAAACCACCACCTCAGGTTCCCCCTCCCATGTCACAGAACATCCCTTCCAACGCTGAACAATTCTGGGTTCTCCTCAGCCTCACAATTACTATGAGGGCGGTCACAAGGCTTGCCCCTGAAACACTACTCATGTTCTAAATAACTCTCCAGTCAACGCCTCTCTATCCCTTTTGAGTTAGTAACCTGCTCAGTGACATCTCCAATAGCAATACATAGCCTCTATCCCAGACTGCAGAGGGAACTATAAATATGACATGTCAGTGCAACCCATTCACCTCACCTGAGCTCTGAAAGAAAAGAATTAATCTCTATAATGATGCATACGGAGCACACACAAAAACAACATCCTCCACTTTGTTTCATTCATGCTGGTCAAACATCCTCTGTGGCTTTACCTCTCTATTAATAAATGTATTTATTACATATTCTTTCCTCACAGAGTGTATAACTTCAGAATGTAAAGATCATTTCTGTGAGTACTGTTGCTCTCCCCTCTCAGAAAATTTACCAGGTTAAACTTCCCATAAACATACGGAAAGAATAAAAAAATTCCTCAACAGGTACCTAAAGAAAACAGTCTATGAGAATAAACTAAGAGAACAGAGAAATGTGATTACTGCAGAATAATCCCCACAGTATCAGGGACTGCATACTGGTTTAAGAACATAGACAACCATCATTAAAAGAGCAGTATGAAATTCACAAGAGAGTAATATTTGGGAACTGAATAAAGAATCAGTTTGATATATGCAGACACACTCTCCAAGGTTAGACACTGGAAAAGCACCTCAGTGTGGCCAATATCACTGGCCACACTCCCAGCCTCCTCTCAGCCTCCCGGCCTGGCAAGCACTGACTGACCTGAGAGGTCCTGGTTTGGGGGAACGTCCACAGTCCACGGCTGTAATCCCTGCTCCGATCTGATGCTCTCCTTAGGATCGGTAACACAGTGCCCTGTGATGAGAAACAGTGTTGGTCTTCAATTAAGTTCAACTTCAGTCTTTGAAAACTAACAAATGCAGTGTGAAGAGCTGTGCAAAAGAGGCCAATCTGAATCTTTCCCAACAAAAACCGAAACACCCACAATGTACACTGCCTGCCATGTTCAACCTCACCAACACTCAGTTTCATAAGCAAGTGCACACTTATCGGTGCAGAAGACAGCATTGCACTAGAGTGTTACACTGGAGCTTCCTCACCTAGGGACACCAGGTGATTGCAGGTCTCCAGCATCACATCCCAGTACAGGGTCCTCTGAGCTTCACTCAGGTACCGCCACTCCTGCCATGTGAAGTTCACAGCCACATCTTCAAATGACACCATCGCTTCTGAGGGAACATTTCTCATCTCAGGGCCGGCAGCCTGGGTCAGACAGAGCAAGTGCAAACACATCTTATTTTGTGGGTCTTCGGTCCTGTATAGAATTTACAGTTGAAAGAGCCTCGCCTCTACATTCACCCCTTTGGTCCTACAAGTAGAACTATAACTTACCTTATGTATTTGAAGTGTCTAAGATTCTAAGAATAAAAGGATGAATATAATTGGCTCCTTGAGGAGCTGATAGCCTGGCTGGCAGGTGTAACAGACACACACCCGGAATCATGTGCTAAAGGAGTTTCATAACAAATGAAAAGCATGTGCAACTTTATGCCAATATTTTACTCCTGTGACCTCAAAGCCTGGTATCTTCAACTCACAGTAAACAAAAACTGAACCCGAAACCAGAATGTTCAAGCAATGAGGTGGGAAAAAGCACAGGTAAGAGATGTTCAACTACAAGCAAGTATAAACCAGAGATGCACTATTGGGGGGGGGAGGGATTAGGGTCAAAATAAGGGGGGTGGGATGTATGGGGACTATAACCAAGATGAAAATGCATAACTTGTGCAGAAATAAAAAAAATGATGTAAAATATATATAAAAGAAAATTTTAAGAAAAGATGTTCAGCTGACAGAGTCAGAAGAAGACAGAACAGGTAATCACTTCTGAAATGGAAGGACAAAGGGGAGGAGAACTTGGCAATAACTTGGTGGCTGAGGTACGAGGAATGTTTTCCTAATATGCTGTCCGCATGATGGGCTGGTAGACACTGGAATTCACATACAACTTGACATGTGTCTGATAGATCAGGAAGTCTAATCTGAAAACAGAAATTTGGGAATCAGGGCCTCCCTGGTGGCACAAGAGTTTAAGTCTCAGCACTATGAAGCTATCGGCAGCTGCTGCAGCACGAATTTGATCCCCAACCAGGGAGCTATTCACAAGGCGCAGAAAATATCTCCTGTCTCCCCACTGCTCCCCTCAGCAGTGTATTTCAGTCAGTCTGCCTGTTCTGTTCCCTGCTCTGTCTCTGGTGAATCCTCTCACCCCCTGCACCTGTGGCCTACACCCAAGCGTTTATATGCATACATAAAATAAATATTAAAGAAAAGAAAGAATTTGGGAATCTCCAGGATATTATTGATAGTTTTCATCACCGTAGGGGAGAACACAGTGACCAGAACAAAAGGTATCGAAAGAAGAGGAAAAACAACTAGAAGAGACAAATATTTCTTTTGGAGAAAGAAAAAAAAATAGATCATAGCAATAAAAGAGTTTTGAAAAATAAGATACACGGTATAAGAAAACAAACATCTTAAGAAAGCCGTAAATTCATTCCATCATTTCCTTTCCTGTGTAGTAAATCCTGTGCACCTCCACATACATACAGAATTGGAACCCATTAAAATAAATTTCCATTTGTATTAGCTAAAAAAGGATTCAGAGTATTTTTCCTCAACACAAAACAAGTCCTTGACACAGCCACAGGCGACATCAGCATTCCCAGTGAGAGGAGGGCTAACAAAGATGCTCAGTGTCCCCTATTCACAATGGGTTTGGGTGACGCTACGTAACAACAACAATAAAAAGACAACATACATAAAAATGGTCATAAGTAGTTATAATTCATTCTTGGAAAACTAATGAAAGCCACAGTAAAGCGACTCTGGAAAGGAAAACCCAGTGAGCAGACTATGAGTATAACTCACACCCGTGTTCACACAAACAGGAGCTCCTGTACGCTGCCAGTGAAATGACGAAACAGTAAGCAATGCATGTAGCGGAACCAAGGGCAGAGACTTGCTGGAATAAAGAAACCCAGAGGGTTAAACAATGAATTAAACAAATGCAAAGACACAACAGCATCCAGGACACGATGAGCCTGCTGCACTGACAGCAACTCTCGCAAGGTAACCCGGCACATCCCAGTTCTAGGAAAACAAAAATGCGTTTATTTACAGGCTCATTGATTAAAACACTAATATGAGAAATAAAACAACAGCAGAGAGAAGGTGGATGGCTCATTACTATGCACAGAAACTCAAGGGACCTCCCAGCAGGAGTGGGCTCAGGATGCCATAAAAGGACCGCATGATGAAATGGGACAATACAATCCCCTCTCGCTTACGAACCTGTTCAAAATGGAAATGTGCAGCAATGAGTAAAGGACTGGAATACACAGTTCTGCAAATCACACGCCCAAGCGGGTCCTAACACATGAACGTTCTCAATACGAGCAGTCACGAAGAAAAAATGAATGAGACAAACAAGAGATGAGATTTTACGTCCGCTGGGATCGCAATGATTTAAAAAGAAAGAAAAGAACAAGTACTGGCAAAAATTGGGACCTGGCTCCCTTGAGCACTGTTGGGGCAAACATAAATGATGCAGCCAGGAGGGAAGTTAGGAAGGTGATTCTTGGGAAAAAGGGAACTCAGAATGACAGGAGGACCCACCCCCACCCCAGGGTGTTCACCAATAGCAGGGACAGCAGGAACGGGCAGAGACGTTTGCTCACCTACGGTCACTGCACCACCAGTCATTACAGCCCAAAGCAAAATCAACCCAAGCCCCAGGTGATGGATTAATGGATAAATAAGACTGGAAAATACACAAGAGAATATTAATGAGCCTCACAATGGAACTAAACAATGACACACACTACAATATGAATGCACTCCTGTAGGATACCTTTGAAATGACAAAACAGTTAACAATGCAATAAAATAAGAGATTCACCAAGAAAACAAGGTGTAATAAGACTCCATTCATACAGGTCTGAGTTGTCAAACTCTTGAAAACAGAAAGTAAATGGTGGACACAGGGGTGAGGGACAGAGCAGTTGGGAGCGAGAGTTTAATGAGTACAGTATTTTATTACTGGGAAATGAAAAAATCTGGAAGGTGGTGATGGCTGTATAACACTGTCAGATACTAAAAGCCAAAGAACACCACATGCAATAACAGCGAAAGGAGACTTTTTATTTTACATTTAAATAAAGGGTCAGGGGCTTTCCTGGTGGCACAAAGGTAAAGACAATACCTATGGAGCTGTCCCGCAGCCACAGCAGCACGAGTTCAATCCCCAGCCAGAGAGCTACCCACATGGCATGGCAGACCTCTCCTGACTCACCCACTGCTCCCCTCAGCAGTGTATTTCAACAGATTTGCCTGTTCTGCTCCCCACTCTGTCTCTGGTGAATCCTCCCCCCTCCCACACCTCTGGCCCATACACCAGTTTTTGTATGCATAAATAATTTCATCTTTTAAAAAATGAATGAATGAATGAATGGAGGGCCATGTTTACTAGGAAAAGGAGAAAAAGAAGCAACAGTCATGCTGGGCAGAAGAGCAGCCACTGCTGCTCCCCACAGTGCAAAGGTTTATAAAATGAAACACTTGCATGGTCACAGGTGACAGAAGAGCTGGTAAAATTAAGTTGCAAAATATATTCATTCTATCAATATTCTATAAACATCTATCACAATTAAAAAAAATCTACCATTAAGCATAACTTCAGCAAGAATCATACGTGTGACAAATGCAAACACACCTACCATACTCCAGACTCGATGACAGAAACCTGAAGCTCTTTATTAAAAACTACATTGAGCATCACTGACATAAACTCCCAACAACCAAAGGTCAAATGATGAACATCTGCGCTACCTGGTTTTACTCAGCAAGTGTCTGTGTCATGACCCTTGTTCAAACGTGTCCCACTGACCCCTGAGCACTTTCTCCCCCTGAACTCTGAGGTGTCACCACACCCTGGCCAGTCTGAGGCAGAAAAGTGAGCAACCTCATCACTGAGAAAATGTACCCATCAGGTTTGGCCAAGAATGAGAACTGTAATGTGAAAGAAAGTGAACACACACACACACACACACACACATGCACGCACGGCGGTGCTGTTGTTAGCAACCATTAAGATATCAGGTAATACTGAAGAGTAACTTGCAATGGGTGAGACTAAACTCTGGAACAGAGAAATCCCTTTCTGGTGGTGGGAGACCTGGGCTGACAAAGATCTAATTCCACACGGGAGGGCACAACACAGGACAAGGTTTGCATGTTGCATGAGCAGCAGGTGCCATCGGGACGGCTACAGGTGCAGTCAGGTGGGAGCCGAGCCTGTGGTACTAGGCCTGGGCAGGAGGCCCACGCTCAAGTGTAACTGGCAGAAATGGCAAAACACAGTTGACTGACTCACTCAGGAGAAGTGCAGACTGAAGACAGGAGACCAGATCGGAACACAGGGACTAGCTACATTCAGAAGCACAAGATACTCAAGCATGCAGGGACACAGAAAAGAAATCATCAGAGAGACCATGACAGAAGCAAACACAAATTTGCATCTTCCAAAACACTGAAGACGGAGGAAAACTCACCAACACATACAACGAGGTCAACATTGCCCTGATCGCCCCCCCAAAAAAAGACAGCATAAAAGGGAAAAATAGACCACCACCACCAAAGAACAGAGAAGTGAAAATCCTCAACAAATTCCAACCGACTGAATACAGCAACATGGAGTCTCCCTGGTGAAGCAAGGGGTTAAGGCAAAGCACTATGAAGCTATCCACAGCCCCTGCAGCATGAGTTCGATCCCCAGTCCGGGAACTCACCCACATGGCACACCTGACCTCTCCTGTCTCCTTGCTGTTCCCCTTAGTAGTGTATTTCACCAGATCTGCCTGTTTTGTTCCCCACTCTGTCTCTGGTCAATCCTCTCACCCACCACATGTCTGGCCTGTACCCCAGCTCTTATATGGATAAATAAATCAATCTATAAAATTCCAAGTGGAGTAAATATTTGGTGATGTACTTGACAGAAAATATAGGGACACACTAAGGACAGTTGTCCCAAAGTGCACTAGGGAACACAACCCCAACACCCAGGGAAACAAAAGCAAAAATCAACAAGTGGGACACCACTAAACCTAAAAGCTTTCATACCTTAAAAGAAACCAGCCCAAAAACTGAAAGGCAGTCTACAGAACAGGAAAAGAATCTGCATGCCACACATGTGACAAGGGGCTCATTCCAAAATTTATAACATCCCCAAACAATGTGAGAAACCAACTGATGACTCAATTAAAAATGGACAAAGGGGGGCCTCCTTGGGACGCAGCCTATGAAGCTCTCCACAGCCTCTGCATCACGAGTTCAATCCCTGGCCAGCAGGGAGCAACCCGCATGGCGCAGCAGACCTTTCCTGACTCCGCACTGCTCCCCTCAGCAGTGTGTTTCAGTAAGTCTGCCTGTTCTGCTCCCCACTCTGTCTCGGGCGAATCCTCTCACCCTCTGCACCTCTCGCCTGTACCCCAGTTCTTGTATGCATAAATGAATAAATCTTAATTAAAAAATGGACAAAGGAACTACATACACTCTTCTCTAGAGAGGGAATTCTGACATCCTACAGACAATAGGAATGTTCACCTTAACTTATTTTAAGAGAAATGTAAATTAAAAGCACACTTAGATGCCACCTCACCCTTGAGAAGGCCCAAATGAAAATGAATGGATTTATACAAAACGGGGGTTGAGGGGTGAGAATTTTATGGGGACTATAACGAAGATGTAAATGATTACACTGTGCAAAAATGAAAATGATGTAAAATATGTAAAATAGTATTTAAAAAAATGAAACACTAAAAAAAAAAAAAATCAAATATGGAATGAACAACGCTGGAGAGGGCACAGAGAAAAGGGAGCTCTCACCCACGGCTGGTGGCCATGACAGTCGGAACAGACCCTGTGGATGAGGGTGCAGATGTTCTTAAGGAAATAAAAACGGAAATTCCATATCATCTGCAATACTTTTACACATTATCCTCATGGGAAAACTCAAACACAAAAAGATTTATCTCATCCGTGAGCAGAGCAGATGTGTTTCCAACTGCCCAGTCATGGCCCAATCTACATCCCTTTGGCAGAGGCAGGGCAGGAAGTGTGGAGCACACGCAGGGGAGCACTGCAGGGCTGTGAGGAAGGAGCAAAGGGCCACACTGAGGATAAAATGGGTGGGCAAGGAGGTGATATTGTTTTTTTTTTTTTTTTTAAAGATTTATTTATTTATGCATACAGGAGCTGGGGTACAGGCCAGAGGTGCGGGGGAGGAAGATGAGAGGATTCACAAGAGACAGAGCAGGGAACAGAACAGGCAGATAGACGGAAATACACTGCCGAGGGACACAGCAGGCCAGTCAGGTCTGCTGCGCCATGTGGGTAGCTCCCTGGCTGGCCAGGGGATGGAACTTGTGCTGCAGAGACTACAGACAGCCCCATCGGTTGCATCTCAACCCCTTGTGCCACCAGGGAGGCCCCGTGTGGTGCTATTCTTGAGTGAAATAAGCCAAAAAGTAAAGACACATATGAGATGGCTTCACTCATCTGTGGAAAATAAATACCCAAAAAACATTTACAGCCAAAATACTTGAATAAAACTTGAACAGGGTCATTTGAAGGTAAAGATGACCACCAGAGGGAACAGGGAAATGGGTGGAGAAGTTAGGGAGGGAGGCAGACGGGGGATGGGCCAGAGTGGTTTGGTAGAGGGGAAACAAGGGGTAGGGCAAGACCCATTAGGATTGTAGGAAAAAACTGGCAACTATTTCAGCAGAAGGCTTTTAGTGCTACACATGTCAATGACAGATCGAGGAGGGAAAATAAGTAAAAGAATAAGAAGTATAAGAAGCTTTAAAACAATTAAAAAAAAATGAAATTTCCCCAAGGTCACACACGGTGTTCTCAAACATGGCAGGAACTTTTGGAGAGTGTAACTGGACTGGAGAGCAACTTAGGGTGTAGTGAGTGTCACTAGAAATGCATTCAGACCACACCAAGGAGAAATGCGCAGGAGCAGTGGAAACAACGGCCAGAAAAAAGGACTCTGAAGAGTCTACTGGGCACCTTCGGTTTGCAGGCCACCTGAGAGAAAGGCAGGGGCAGGTATGTAAGGATCCCCCATTGGACTCAACGGCACACATGCCAAGACTGATGCCTGCATGAAAGTCTCCGAGAGTTGTACAGGACACAGTATATGATTTTAGCTACTGCACAGAAACCTTAAAAATTCAGTTGGGGACTCCTGGGGGGCGCAAGGGGTTGAGCGTTGGGTTGTGAAGCCGCCCGCAGCCTCTGCAGCGCCAGTTCGATCACCAGCGAGGGTCCCACATGGCGGGAAGACCTCTCCTGCCGCCCGCTGCTCCCCTCAGCAGTGTACTTCGGTCCTTCTGCCTGCTCTGCTCCCGCTCTGGCTCTGGTGAATGCTCTCACCCTCCCGCGCTTCTGACTGTACCCAGTGCATGTATAAATAAATAAACAAATCTTGAAAAAAAAATCAGTTGTCCTTTTTAAGACATGTGGCTCCTTCACCCCCATTCTGCACTCAGGTCCTCAGGCCCCATCCTCCCCCTCCTCCCTCACCCCGCACCGGACCAGCGCAGAGCGGGGAAGTGTTTCTGTCCAGCGGGGTGAAGAGCCACAGTCCACACCTTCAGCGTCATCAACCGTGACCCAGGTACAGACTCTGACTCTGCGCTGCGTGAGCACCAGGGCAGAGCCCAATCTTCACACATGCTGGACATGTGAAGTGCCTGGATCTATGCCACACCTTCCTCTGGTGAGGAATGTGTCCCTGGAGAAAACTCTATTTCTAATTTACGTGTCCGTTGAGATACTCCCATAAAGTCAATGCACCGCGACCCAAAGCAAACACAGCACTCACCAGAGATTGATCCATTGTCGCTGCTCTCACAGAGGCATGAGGGCTCTGGAGCGGCACTGGGAGAGGCGATGGGGTCCAGCACATAGGACGGAGGCAGCTGCACGGGGTCCTGGAGTCTCCTGTCCAGAGCCCGCCACACGCTGCCTGGAGACACCAGAGAGTCACTGCGGGTGACGGCCGTGTTACAGAAGGGGCAGGAGAGGCCCCGCGAGTCCATGAGCGGCAGAACCTGGGTTTACGGTTCACCATAACTTAACAAAGGTGACACTGCCCACTGCCTGATCAACAGTCACGCCAAGAACAACAGTATCAAAGCTGAGGAGTCACTTCAGAGTGTGGACAAGATTTACAACGAGATGATGCCCCGAACGCACTGTTCTGCCAGGACACCCGGCAGTGGCTCCGCGCAGCTTCCCGCCCTCCTCTCTGTGGACACCTGGACAGTGACTTGGTTCCCCCCCTCCCCGTGGGGTGTGCATGTCCAGGCAGGAGGCCAGAATGCAGCAGCCAGCAGGACGCCGCCTGGGGGCAGGAATGCGAAGTGCGCCTGGAAATTCAGACAACTAGCCTCTAACGACCCAGGAACTCCCTGAGCCCCCCCTGCCATCCCAGTTTCCCGGGACCTCCCCGCACCCACAGGGGCCACCTCCCCAGGCACCCCGCGCGACCTCACCCGCCCACCCTGGGTCCGTGAATCTGGCCCCAGGCGCAATACCCACCCACCCACCCCCCCGGAAACGCAGCCTGGCTCTCCTCTCCCTCACACCCAGACTTTGGGGGGCCCAGAGGAGTCAGTGCGCATGCGCACAGGCAGACCCGCGCTTCCCCAGGGCCCCCGCCTTGGGGACCCCTTCCCCCGCCCCGGGAAGACCCCGGGCAGCGTCCGGGGTCAGGGCCGGGCGGCCGCGCCGGGGACACCCCGGAAAGGCCGGGACGTTCTCCCCAAAGGCCCTGCCCCGCCCCCACGCGCGCTCCGGGGGGAATTGGTTCCAAAGCGCCCGACTCCACGCGGCCGGGGCCCCCGCTCGCCCACGCCCCCCGCTCCCCAACTCCCTGGCGTCTCCGCTCACCCGAGCCCGGCCTCCCGGAACAAACCCGCGCTCACCTCGGGGCGCCCCAGCGCTCGCGGAGGCGCCAGAACGTTCGAACGGACGGGGGCGGGGCCGCGCCTGCGCAGATCGCGGAAGCCCCGCCCAGAAACCTCCGCGGGAACCACAGGGGCTGGAGACCACATTTCCCACAACCCCTTGCGCAGCCCGTCGGGCCGTCGTCGGGGTGGGGTTGCAGCCTGGAAGTGGGAGGAGTGGAGGTTGAGGAGAACCGGCAGGTGGGCGAGGCCCGTGAAAACTGCGGGGCCCATAATGGGTTCAGGGCTCTGAGGGAAGAGAGGTCAACGGGGCCGCCCTGGGGCTGAAGGGGTTAAGCACCGCGCTGACTGATGAGCTATCTGCCCCCTCCACAGCAGGGAGCCTCCCACAGGGCTTGGCAGACCTCTCCCTTCTTGCCCACTGCTCCCCTCAGTAGTGTATTTCAGTCAGTCGGCCTGTGCTATGCCCCACTCTGTCTCTGGTGAATCCTCTCTCTCTCTCTCTCTCTCTCTCTCACACACACACACACACACCCCTTTGGTCTGCACCCCAGCTCTTGTATGAATAAATTTTAAAAATATACATAAGAAGTTCACATACAGTCTAAATAAGACATTCAGATATCAAGACACATTTCATCAAAATCAACATTCAGGTATTTAAGAAGCATCTTGACCTGATACCTGGATCACAGAGTCGGTGTTCAACATAAAGATGCTTTGCTTAGCTAATGTGAATGGACAAGAATTCTACGCTGTTATGAAAAGCTCACCTGCTCTTTCATCACATGCTTGTGAAGATTTCTTTTGGCAACAACGTCCAATAATATTCATGGCTCCATTACTACCATGAAGAAACATGAGGATATTAATAAACTGTTAGTGTATTCCCTGAAGGAGAAAATGATGAAATGAGTTGAACTTCAGCATGTTACCGTGTCTAACTTTTATGCCCACAATAAAGTCCACGACTCCTCTGGGTGATTTAGATCAATCATTGCAGTCAGCCACAAACAGCATATCCATTTAGATTTTCTTCATCCATGATACATGACACCATCATAAATGTACCCAAGCAATTAAGATTTAAAGAAACTCATAAACTGGAGAGGATCCCTTAGATGTTTGACACACGAAAGTCAAATACATGACTCCACCTACATACCAGGAGAAAGCCATAGAGTGAAGTGATTTAGGGCTGAATTATATTTATCAGGTCTCTTCACAATATCTCAAGTATGGTTGATAAAAAAAGGACAAAGAAAATAACTATACAGGGCCCCAAACCATCATCTTGAACTCTTATTTATTTTTTTAAAGATTGATTTTATTTATTTACGCATACAAGAACAGATGGGTAGGCCAGAAGTGTACGGGGTGAGAGGATTCCCCAAAGACAGAGTGCAGAGCAGAACAAGCAGATTGACTGAAACACACTGCTGAGGGGAGCAGCAGATAAGTCAGGAGAGGTCTGCTGTTTCATGTGGTCAGCTCCCTGGCCAGTGACCAAACAATAGCTTCATAGTGCTGTGACTTAACCCTCTACTCCACCAGGAAGGCCCTCAGACTTTTTAGTTATGCTAATATTTAGTGTTTTAATGTTGGCTTATGCTCCATAACAATTTTATGACTTAAGGAATGTAAAGTGTTTCTCACTTCCTACTTTATTGCAATATCATAATATGAATCTAAATTGCATTATAAATTACTTAATCATATTTTCACTTCTTTCAAGTTTCCAGTATGAAAACCTGGTGGCTTCAAAATTCATATTTAGACAAACCACTCATCACTTTCCATTTACAGTTTCTCTTGGTTTTCACTCTCTGATGTTTAGGATCATCTCACTTCTAGTTAATCACTTTGACACTTCTGGTTAAACTTCTGGACTTCTGGTTCAAGACACCAAAGTTGGGACCTCACTGGTGGCACAAGGGGTTAAGACACAACCTATGTAGCTATACGCAGCCACTGCAGTACGAGTTGGATTCCAGGTCAGGGAGCTACCCACATGGTGCAGCAGACCACTCCTGTCTCGCCTGCTGCTCCCCTCAGCAGTATATTTCATTCAATCCGCCTGTTCTGTTCCCCACCTTGCCTCTGATGAATCCTATCACACACCCCCACCTCTGGCAGATACCCCATTTCTTGTATACATAATAAAATAAATCTTGAAAAAAAGAGACTAAAGTAAAAAAGAAAAATTGACTTCACAATTTTAACATTTCTCTCTGATGTGAATTCTCTAATGTAGAGTAACACTTGACTTGCGGTGAAAGGCTTTGCCACATTCTTCACATTTGTAAAGTTTCTCCCCAGTATGAATTCTGTGATGTTGGCTTAAATGTGATGAATGGTAGAAGGCTTTGCCTACATTCTTCACATCTGGAAGGTTTTACCCCTGTATGAATTCTATGTTGTCGAGTAAGACATGACTTATTGTTAAAGGCTTTGCCACATCCTTCACAATTGTAAGGCTTCCCCTCAGTATGAATTCTGTGAAGCTAAGATATTTAAAGCCTGACAGTTGGTTAAAGGCTTTCCCACATTCCACACATCTGTAAGGTTTCTCCCCAATATGAACTCTCCGATGTCGGGAAAGGTGACACAGCACAGGAAGGTGTTACCACAATCAGGACGCGTGTAGGCTTTTCTCCAGCATGAATCCTTAGATGGTTAGTCAACTGTGGATGCCAATACAAGGCTTTACCATGCTCCTCACACTTGTGAGGTTTCTCTCTGTGATGTTCAGTAAGTCTTGGGCTTCATTTGGTAGCTTTGTCATATCCTTTAAAATTGTAGTTTCTCATGAAGTACATGATGCTGGAAAAGTATTGAGGACTCCTCAGTAGGATCCTGTGTAGATTTTTCATCTTCCTTTCTAATTCTCTGATGGTGAGAATGACATGACTGAAAGTTTAAATCTATCCCACATTGACAGTGTTTTGAATAATAATTTGCATTATGGACTAGGGGACTTCCCATATGTTCCAACATTCTTCTCAGAGATTGTGTCTTGTTAAAAATGTCACGTGGATCTTTGCTAACAGAAACATATTTATCTCTACCTGCAACAGACGTAAAATGGAGTTTTACCCAGCATGGTTTACATGCAGGATCACTTTGTACAGGAGGAATTGTGTTATGTATAATTGTCCCATATTGGGAATCTTCATTGCAACAACTGTTGTGCCCTTCACATGTCTCTTGACATGTCTGGTCTATCAATAATTGTAAATTCTCAAAGGTGCCAATTCCATCTCCTCCCGGTCCCACATTTAGCAACAAATCTTCTGTGCCTGACTGTGGCATGGAGACCTGGTTGTCTTGAGAAGACAGGGCAGGAAGACAATGAGGAATAACTACCCCACGCACAGTACTCAAGAAAAAATACTTTAAAAATTTAAGACATAAAATTAATACCATATAAAGACCTCTGATATGATGTTTGGATAGGTAACATCAGCACTAGACAGCAACACACATGCTTATGAATAGGCAACGTCCCTAGGGAAAGGTACATACATAGCAAATACTGATATAACCCTAGAGTAAAAATATTGTTTCTGCTTCAGAATTTGGAAATATGGCACAAAAAAATTCATAGATTCATGTTATAGAATACAAATATCATGAGATATAATTTGTGATGTCAGTAGGGTTAGAAATGTTAAAGAGTGGAGCTTTGGTATGCAGCTGAATTTACATGGTTTTCACTTTAGAAAAGACTGCCATAACTATTCAACATGCTATGGAATGCCCATGAGAAAAAAAGATACCGTAAAATACATGGAAAAGAAATAAAAACAGAGACTGATGTTATGTGTACATAGGTTGGATGACAATGCTTTACATTGTTTGTAAATAATATTACAAACCAATATACCTCCATTAACATCAAAATGTGTGAAAGTGGAGGGAAATCACCAACAAGATAGGAGAGAGGAATTAAAGCATATAAGAAAAGGTCAAAAAATATACAGTGATGCAGTAGGTTGGAAATGGGGTATAAAATGGCTGAGAATACTGCATCCACAGTGGCGCAGCGGGTAAGCGCTGGGTCGCGAAGCTGCCCGCAGCCTCTGCAGCGCTGGTTAGATCTCCGGCCACCAGCGAGGTCCCACATGTTGCGCAGATCTCTCATGCTGCCCACTGCTCCCCTCAGCAGTGTACTTTGTCAGTCTGCTTGTTCTGTTCTCCGCTCTGGTTCTGGTGAATTCTCTTACCCTCCCATGCTTCTGACTGCACCCTGTGCTTGAATAAATAATAAATAAATCTTAAAAAAAAAAAAATTAGGGCCTCCCCGGTGGCGCAGTGGTTGAGCACTGGGTTGCAAAGCTGCCCGCGGGCTCAGAGGCACCAGTTCGATCCCCGGCTGCTCCCCGACCACCAGAGGAGGGTCCCACATGACGCGCAGACATCTCCTGCCGCCCGCTGCTCCCCTCAGCAGTGTACTTAGGTCCATCTGCCTGCTCTGCTCCCCGCTCTGGCTCTGATGAATTCTCTCACCCTCCCTCACTTCTGACTGTACCCAGTGCATGTATAAACAAAACAAACAAATGAAATAAATAAATAAATAAATAAATAAGCATGCCTCTATAAAAAAAAAATTAAAAAAAAATGACTGAGAATCGAGGAACCACTCTTTAACAAAGGTTAACACCTCCCTTTCAGTAATACTTTGGTGTAAATAAAAGTCCACATTACAATGGCAAATGTGTCTGAATGAATTAAAAATAACACCAATTCAATCTTACCTATATGACACTCAACATAGCCTTCAGCGCACTATGTGGAATGTAAGCATGGAAATAGATTCTATGAAGACTAATCATGAAAATGGAGCCGTGTGGATCAATCTAATGATATTATCTGAGGCTAACGCATCACAGAATGAAAAGAATGACCCCAGAAAATAACAGAAAACTACCTGTTTTGAGAAGTCATTGTAATATTATCTATACACTAAGATGAGGTCCTGAATGTGTGCCACAAACAAAGACAGAACTCAATGCAGAAGATGAAAACAATAAAATCAAGGAGAGGTTCAAGGCCCAATTGCAATTGGAAGGAAAATAATGTTATAAATTCAGGAATCAGAGTTGACAAACGGGTGAAAAATAATTCGAAAAAAAAAAAAAGATGTGGTATATAGACAGGATGAAATACTACTGAGCTATGAAAAATGATACATCTGTCCT